AGGCGAGGTGAACTCTTCCAGCATCCTTTTGGCTGCACTTACCTTGTTCACAGGACGCTTGGCCGCTCGCTGCTTCCTGGCGGATATCCTATAGTTGGTACCCGCGGCCGCGACTTCCACTTGGGCTGGATTTTTATCCTTCCCACCTTCAGCGCGGCTACTGGTTCCAGCGCCAAGCACCCCAGTCGCAGTAGCTTGCCCAGCCTCCTTGGTTTTAATTTCGGAAGCAGCCAATGCGGCTCGTTCTCTTCGGCCTTTTTCCCGCTGCTACTTGTTCTTCTTTTTGGCCTTTGCACTCCTGCCTGCAGGGATAGGCCCTCCTGATGGTCCCTCAGGTAGGCAAGTCACCTTTTTGGGTGCCTTGCCTTTCCCCTTACGGCTCACCACTTGCCAGGCAGCAGAGAAAAGGTCGTCAGTTCGTAGTGGCTCCGCAGTTTTGTTACTCGCGGGCTCTTGTTCTTTTTTCTCGTCCAGCTCCTTGGAACTGGTTTAGGAAACGTTCAGCGAGATAGTTGTCCCTTTGGTGGGGGCACCTACGCTGGACGGTACTGTCCGTGGAACCGTCGATTTAGTGACGGTTCCCCCTTGTTCTTTGGTGTCTCTGGTAAGCACCTCTGACACCTCTCCCTCTTTTTTATTGGGCCTTAAATTGTCCATAATTTTTTGTTCTTTAAAATTCATCCCCCCGGCTTCCCACCCTCTATGGAGCCCGCACCTTTGGAAACGCCCTACTTTAAAAAAGAATTTCAGGCGTTAGGATTACCGGGAGAATATAGGGACGCGAAGTTGGTTCACAGCGCGACATCGGGAGCTCGATCCAGCTGGTAGATGGGACTGACAAGGCCCATCCCCACCACCCGAATAAACTATCACTTGCTCCGTCAGCATGGCCTATACCACCACCCAGCCCCCTTTTCAGGAAAACTAGGCAACCCCCACATCCCTCGCCTGCGACCCTCTGACGGGGCGCTTAGCCATTTCCCTATCTGTGGCTAGCAGATAGGGCTACCGTTTAGCTTGATATCCGGACCAAAGAGGGCGTGTTGCTTCTCGCCACTATATACCCCAGCGACGATCGGCTCAACCCTCCAGGACTCCTTCATCTTCGCGTACGGCGCTCGACTGCGCAGGTCCTAGTGCAGGTGGGTGTGTTATTCCACCGGATACACCCACTTTCTCCGGCGGAACCGTCCCGTCCTCCTTTCTCAACCGGGCTTGGGACTGGCAATGGCGGAGTTTTCCGAATAGTTACTGCGAGATAGGATACAATCAGGGCACACAAGTTGTTGAAGCGCCTGTCAAATTATATTAGCAGTTCTCATGCCAATATTAGTCCGTAAGCTGTGTAGGTATGTTTAAAAAAATGTTGTACCTGTCGTCGTTGTAAAATTTAGAGATCAAGTAAAGGTCGATTGAGCAAATTACTGCATTTTACTATTAAAAAGAGATCAAATTCCTATTCATGGTCCTAAATCGAAGCCGGATTTGAAAAAACGTAATTGGACAAGATATTATTTAGTGGAATACGCTTGGGAAGTCTTAAATATTCGTTGTGGAAATACCACCGAGGGAGTGAAGATATTTAACCAAGAAATCTGGAGTCTTAGCCCCTTAGATATTGGACTATTATTTAATTTATTTAACCCAGCACTCATTATCAGGTAGTATTTTGTGTAAATCGACTGCTAATTTATCAGGTTAGTACCAAATTACCTATAAAATAATTACGTATAACTTAAAGTATTTAATCGGCTAAAATTCATTTAATATTGTTTTATATAGTTTCTAATAACCGTCAAATCATGATTAAATCAAATTATAAAGCTTAGTTAAATTATATTGACGATATTATAATTTTTTTTTTCTCTCTTTATTGGTTTAAACTGTTTTTTAAAAAATAAGTCAAGAGAGTGTATAATTGAAAAAATTGCATAATATTATTTATTACATACTAAGGCATACCTGTGAAGCTGTTTGATGGTCTGAATTGTATTTGTTACCCTTAATTGTTGTTAATTATAAAGTTAAATATCAAGGTAGTACATGTACCATTTTGTTTAATTATTTAAGAGTTTGAAAAATAAGTAAGGGAATTAGTTTTCATTTCTTTACAACTGTAAGCAAAATTGTATAAAACTACTTATGAATTATATTTTATAAAATATAAACTTCTTGTTTGTATAAATTTCAGGCATTTGCACTAGTCTCCCAATACCAGCCAGCATGCCAGAAGATAAGGAGCAAATTAGGAAACGAGCTAGTTACAAGGGACAAATAACAGCTTTTTCAAATTATTTAAATTCACTGAAGGTATCTTCATTGGCTGCTACTGAGGTAAATGAGTTGCAATTACGTATTAGTAGGATTGAGTCAATGTATGAACGATATGATGAGGTACAATTATCCATCGAGTGTAATACTGATAATATAGACGCCCAGATATCAGAACGAACTGATTTTGAATCCCTGTATTTTAAATCGCTTTCTCTTGCAAAAAGGATCTTAGCAGATTGCATTAAGTCAGATGACGTAAGCAGTGACGGTGGCTCTCATTCCGGCAATCATAAATTTGTTAAACTGCCCACTATTCAACTACCTAAATTTAATGGTTCTTATGATAATTGGTTAGAGTTTCATGACACGTTCATGAGCCTCATACATTCAAATGACGAGATAGATGACATAAATAAGTTTCACTATCTGAGAGCGTCGTTGGAAGGGCCCGCTGCTGTGGTAATACAGTCAATCGAATTCTCGGCAGCTAATTACACCGTCGCATGGACTATATTATGTGATAGATATGATAATAAAAGACTACTAATTCAAAATCACGTGACAGCCTTATTTAATATAGCACCAATTAATAAAGAATTGTCTGTCAACTTAAAACGTCTTATTGACCAAATAAATAAAAATTTACGTGCACTAGAATCTCTCGGTGAGCCAACTAAACAATGGGACACACTTCTCATTCATATTATTACTCAAAAATTAGATGCTAAGACATATCGTGAATGGGAAGAGTCTAAAGGTCGTTTGGAGAAAGATACACCTATTACGTTCGATATATTTTTGATGTTTTTAAAAAATCGAGCCGATTTAATCGAAACACTAGAAATGTCTGATTCTGGTGCTACTAACCGTTTAAATTCTTCTATAAAATATGCTCCAAAAGTTAGGGCAATGGTTTCAGTGCGGGATACCGGTAATAAAAACGGTTCGGCCTTTTCCGCCAAACTGTGTCCTAAATGTAAGGGTGACCATAAGTTAAGCAGTTGTCCTCAGTTTCTTGGATTAAGTAACGATGTGCGTCTACAGTTACTGCCAGAGTATAAAGTATGTTTCAATTGTCTTAATTCAGGACATTATGCAAATCACTGCAAAAAGCCAGGATGCAAAATATGCCACCGAAAGCATAACACTCTCGTGCACGTCGCAGATTACCAGTCAAAACCAATTACAGATATTAATACATCTAACACGAGTAGTGGTAATAATAAGCCCGTTATGCAAGGTCATTTCGAACAAACAAACAGTTCGACAGGCTCACAGTTGTCATCCAATTCTAACGCACATCTGTCATTATCCGCAAAGGTAGGCACTGCATCGTGTAGTGAACAAGGCGACGTATTGTTATCGACGGCATTAATTAAAGTTATAGGTAAGAATGGTTGTCCATATATTGCTCGTGCTATTCTTGATAGTGGCAGTAACGCTTGTTTAATAACTGAAGAGTTATATCAAAGGCTAGGTTTGCCCGCTCAAAATGTAAATCAGTCGGTAGTCGGTATTAATAATGCTTCGGCACACATCAAGAAGATTTGTAAGGTATCGATAAAATCATTGAATGATAACTTCTCTAGTAATCTTCATTGTTTTGTCCTACCATCAATAACCCAAAATGTACCTACTAGATATGTTAATTTGTCAAACTTAAAAATTCCATCTAATATTTCTCTGGCAGATCCTAATTTTCACTCACCTGCTCCCGTTGACATGCTTATAGGTGCTGATGTCTTTTGGGACTTAATAGGAACGCAGAGATTAAAATTAGGGGACGGTCAGCCGATTCTTTGTGAAACTAGCTTAGGATGGTTAGTATCAGGTCCGATAGATTATAGATATGTAAAGAAAGGGGTTAACTTTATTAAATGTAATTTTACAAGAATATTTCAAGATGAGGCTAGTAAAGATTTAGATGAAGATATACAAAAACAATTAGTACGCTTCTGGCACCTCGAAGAGGTAAGCCCTGCGTCTCTTTATTCAAACGAAGAAAAATTATGCGAAGAACACTTTTTAAAAAACACCACGCGACTGGCAAATGGTCGATTTTGCGTGAGGATACCCTTAAAACATAATCCTGACGTATTAGGTGATTCTTGGCCACGAGCTAAAAAGTGTTTACTATCGCTAGAGCGCAGGTTAGCAGGTCAATCTCAGGTCTATGAAATGTATAAAGAATTTATGTCAGAGTATGAAAGTCTGGGTCATATGGAGAAATGTGAGAATGATAATTTACCACGTAAGATGCATTTTATACCACATCACGGTGTGCTTCGGGAAAGTAGTACTACTACTAAATTAAGAGTCGTTTTCAATGCTAGCAGTCCGACTTCTTCGGGTGTTTCCTTGAATAATATACAGATGGTAGGTCCCGTGGTACAGGACGACCTTTTGTCCATTCTTTTACGCTTTCGGCTACACAAATACGTTCTCACAGCTGATGTTGAGAAAATGTACCGGCAAATAGTCATTCATCCCGATGACCGCTATTTGCAACAAATTGTCTGGCGTGATAACCCTTCAGAACAGCTTCAAGCTTATCAACTTAACACCGTGACTTACGGCACCTCTAGTGCTCCCTTTTTGGCAACTAGGTGCCTCCAACAATTAGGCTTAGAGTGTACCGATGACAAGGTTGCTCAAGTGATCATTCACATGATTTTTACGTTGATGACTTGCTAACGGGAGGGGATGATATTAACGAGGTTACAGATTTGCGCCGTAAAGTGACTTCCACACTTGCATCAGCTCATATGGTTTTGCGAAAGTGGAAGTCGAATGAATCTCAACTGGTTAGTGAAAATGATATTTCTCCGCTTGATTTGAATATTGGTGGCTTTGAACCGACTAAAACTTTAGGCCTTGGTTGGCAATCACATACTGACCAACTTTGTTTCCCTATAGGAGGGCTATTCTCAGGTAGAACAAAGCGTGATATGTTATCTGTGATTTCTCAGATTTTTGATCCACTAGGACTTCTATCTCCCTGTGTAATTAAGATGAAAATGCTTCTTCAACAGTTGTGGCTGCTCAAGCTGTCATGGGATGAGCAGTTGACGCCAGAAATCAGCAAGATGTGGGCTGAGATAATAGTCGATTTACCTAAATTAAATACTCTACGTATTCCACGTCGTGTTATTTGTGACTCGCCTAGTTTGTTTGAATTTCATATTTTCTCGGACGCTTCTGAGCGAGCATATGGCGCCTGTTTATATGTGCGTAGTGTTAATGATCAGGGTGAGGTTTTAATTCAATTATTGATGGCGAAAAGTCGTGTCGCGCCGCTTAAACCTATAACAATCCCAAGACTGGAACTTTGTGGTGCACTTGTTGGAGCTCGCCTTTACCAAAAGGTTGTAGCATCGCTGAGACAACAGGCTAAGCGCACTTTCTTTTGGACAGATTCGTCCATCGTGTTAGGATGGTTAAAGGTGTTACCTAGCAAGCTACAACCCTTTGTCAGAAATAGGGTTGCTGAAATATTAGAGAAGACTGGAAATTGCGAGTGGAGGCATGTCCCAACAGAGTGTAATCCGGCCGATCATATTTCTCGCGGTGTGAGTTGTAAGGATATTTCATCCATGAGTAAGTGGTGGTCAGGACCTGAATTTTTAAAGAAAGAGGTCTCTCACTGGCCTGCAAATTTCTTAAGTATTAATCACGAGTTGCCTGAGATTAAATCGTCAAATGTTATCCTCCACGGAATACTTCATTCTAGCAACAATGAAGATTTAGGTGGGAATAAATTAATTGAATTTAAACGCTTTTCTAAATATACTAGATTAAATCGGACCGTTGCTTATGTGCTGCGTTTTATTAATAATTGTAGAAAGCAATCCGTTCACGGTCCTCTAAGCAATCAAGAGTTGCAAACCGCACTGAATGTTATTATAAGAATATCCCAGAGTGAATCATTTGAGGAATACACCATGTTAATTAAAAATAAAAGTTTACCCACTAAAAGTCCGTTGCATAAATTTAATGTATTTCTCGATGATAATAAAATAATGCGTGTTGGAGGGCGTCTTGAAAATTCCGATTACTGTTATGAGAAAAAACATCCCATACTTATACAGTCCACTCATTATTTTACCAAATTGCTCTTCAATTATGAGCACATAAGGTTAATGCACGCGGGACCACAGCTAATGTTGGCCACTATAAGAGAGATGTACTGGCCGATGAGAGGTCGTAATTTGGCCAGATCTTGTTATCGACAATGTGTAAGATGTAATAGAATGAAAGGAAAAACCATCTCTCCAATAATGGGCAACCTACCACACCAACGCATCCTTTCTGGTTTTCCATTTCAAAATATTGGACTAGACTATGCGGGACCAATTCAATCTGTTTCTCGCCATGGCCGTGGTTGTAAAATTGTAAAGGTGTATATAGCTATTTTATTTGCTTCGCGACTAAGTCAATTCATCTTGAATTAGTGGGTGATTTAACTAGCAATACCTTCATATTAGCTTTGCGCAGATTTATGTCTAGAAGAGGGAAACCTCTTAATATTTATTCGGATAATGGTACCTCCTTTGTAGGCGCATACAATGACATTTCAAAATTTATTAGGACGTGTTGTAATTCTTTATCTGAGGTAATGGCAAATGAAGGAATTAATTTCCATTTCATACCGCCTTATTCTCCCCATTTTGCTGGGCTTGCGGAGGCTGGTGTCAAATGCATTAAATATCATTTAGTTAGAGTGCTGGGCAATTGTAATGTGACTTACGAGGAACTAAATACCACATTAATACAAATTGAGGCTATACTTAACTCCAGACCACTCACACCTTTGTCAACGAATCCTGAAGACTTGCTACCACTAACGCCCGGTCATTTTTTGATTGGACGCCCCTTGACTTCCTTGCCGACACCAGACTATAAAGATCATTCCGTAAGCTCTTTAACCCGATTTCAACGAATAGAACAATTACGTCAACATTTTTGGGCTAGATGGAGCAAGGAATATATATCAGAGCTTCAACTGCGGATGAAATGGCGTTCCTGTAAAGGCTCTTTGAAGTTAAATTCACTGGTACTCCTAAAAGAGGAGAATTCACCGCCATTAAAGTGGAAGATGGGTCGCATCGTCGCAGTCCATCCAGGCTCGGACGGCGTATCAAGGGTGGCGGATATCAAAATATCGACTGGTATAGTTCGCCGATCATTTAGCAAAATTTGTCCGCTTCCTGAACCTGAAGAATCTGGTTGAAAGGTAGACTTTCAACGCCGGGGGGCATGTTGAAGCGCCTGTCAAATTATATTAGCAGTTCTCATGCCAATATTAGTCCGTAAGCTGTGTAGGTATGTTTAAAAAAATGTTGTACCTGTCGTCGTTGTAAAATTTAGAGATCAAGTAAAGGTCGATTGAGCAAATTACTGCATTTTACTATTAAAAAGAGATCAAATTCCTATTCACAAGTAAAAAAACTTATTATACTTATATACTACCTCACACCAACCTATAAATTGCCAACACTAGGGCTGTACTTATTATTGCAACTAATGGGGTTGTTATAAACTAATTTGCTTAATTCCGCGTGAAGAAAGAAAATGATGTGTCCTGCCCAGTAATTTTCTTTGCTTAACATTATTTAAAATTATTTAAAAGAGCTTAATGTGATTTATCAACTTGCAGTCTCTGACGGTTATTTAAAGAATATCATTGACATTGTAATAAAAAAGGAACAAAAACTTGGCGTACGCAATTCTCTGTACGCGGTTAAACCTCAAAGTGATCGTCGATATGTTGGCAGCTTGACCGACTTAGGTTCTATATCTGAAAAAATAGCTAATACTCTTCGATAGAGTGGCGTGTACGTGGCATTCAAAACAAACAATTCACTTGGGAATATCTGTAATTATAAAGATAAGTTAGATATTCGTCTAAAGTGTGGTGTTTATAAACTTGTTTGTGACGAATGCCAAGCCATTTACGTGGGTCAGACTGGTCGCAACTTCGAAACACGTTATAAAGAGCATTTAGCCGCGTACAGGAATTGTAACCCCGATAAATCACATTTTGCTAAACATTTCTTAGACACTGGACACAGCTTAGATAAGTATGCTGGAACAGTTAGAGATATTAAAAAATAATAACGGTAACATTGTACTGCTAAATGAACAAACAAATGTTTCCAACTTGCCTCTCTTAAACATGTTTAAGCCTGCTCCTTGATGATATATAGCTTCGCAACATGGTCGTTTGTCACCCTCACGGTGCAGTGGTCAGCGTTTGGTTGCGTGGTAGTAGGGTAGGCGGACGTTTCGTAGTAGTTTGTTGTTAACTTCACACCAAATATCGGCGTATGTCAGGCGGTCGTTACGTAATTGGAGCGCGGTTGCGTCAGCAAGTAGTATAAATAGCAGTAGTTTCGGCTCACCGCTCACTTAGCGGCCAGCCTCCGCAGAGTCTACTTCACCTGAGGATGTCTCGTGTAGAGGCGAAACACGTGTCGTATTTCCGAGAGTGGTGTGTCGTGCCTAGTGTGGTGGTGCTGGGGGTGGGAGTGCTGGGATTAACGGTGACGGGTATAGTGCGCGCGATTGAGGGAGGATGGGAGGTCCCCTTAAAACTGGGCAGTACACATCATTTTCTTTCTTCACGCGGAATTAAGCAAATTAATAACAACCCAACAACGTGGTCCTTCACTGCTGGCCGTATGAGGAAGCTCAAGGTCGCTCAGCGAGCTATGGAGAGGGCTATGCTCGGAGTTTCTCTGCGTGATAAACTTAGGAATGAGGATATCCGCAGTAGAACCAGAGTAACCGACATAGCCCAACGGATTAGTAAGCTGAAGTGGCAGTGGGCCGGCCATATAGCTCGAAGAACCGACAACCGATGGGGAAGAAAGGTTCTCGAGTGGCAGCCTCGTACCGGTAGGCGAAGTGTAGGGCGTCCCCCCACGAGATGGAGTGACGACCTGGTAAGACATGCAGGAAGTCGATGGATGCAGGTGGCTCAGGACCGTGCTTTGTGGCATTCTTTGGGGGAGGCCTATGTTCAGCAGTGGACTTGTGAAGGGCTGTAATGATGATGATGATGATGATGATGATGATGATGATGAATAACAACCCCATTATAATGGATTTCCGCAAAGTAACGCCTGATTCTATCAATTATTCTTGCAACTGTTTGGTAGGCAGGCGCACTGGTGACTGCTGTGAACATGTCATGTATATTTTTTGGTTTTTATCTTGGGCACGGCATCGAGATGAGGTTGAACCACCTGCATCTTTTTTATATGAAATATTTATTTCAAGTGATGCCGTTGAACGTGACGATTATTAAGATTAATGCAAATTATTAATGTAATGGTGGTTTTTTCCATAGTTGCTTCGTATGGCGGAAGGCTTGTGCCAACGCCAGTTTTTGTGGTATTTTATAGAAAGTTGCTTCTGCCCATGTCCTAGTATTTTTATTTCACTCTGTCAACTTTTACGATAGCCTATGGGACAAGATGGTACGGCCCATGTAATATTTTATACTAGATGTTTTATTTAGGGGAGGCCTATGTTCAGCATTGTTCTGTTGTAATGATGATGAATAATGATCAGTAAAAAATTTAATTTTTGATGCTTACTTAGCCTATTTCTATTTTACTGTGTGCCTTATTGAAGTGAAAACTTCTTTAGCGGCGTTGTGCACTTTTTTTGTAATGGGGAAAAAATGTTAAACTCGCGTCAGGTCACGTGTCCTGATCGAAAATTCGTAAGACGGACGGAGAGTAGACAGCCGGCGCGGCGTAGTAGTATTATTCAGTTTAGGTTAGGTTTAATTAATTTTCATTTATTAATTAATATAATTTTATTATTAAGATTAGGTTTCGATCGAGTCTACTGTACTGCTTGACGAAATTATTAATATACTTAGATACATATGTACTTACACATTATAGATGTAATATTTGTAATATGTTTATACTTTATAGCATTAACCTATATTTTCATAACATCACAATAAGCACATGTGCGGTGTAGGTTTACCAAACAAATAATTTCGAATGAAAATAAATGAAATAAGATAATAATAAATAATCTCCGCCATACCAAAATATCAAAAATGCACAACGTTAATATTCAAGTTTTCACTTCTGCCGGCACTGTGAAGATACTGCTGCCCGTCTACTATTTTCTGTTATATTATGTTATATGTGTAATTTACAAGTAAAAGCCGGGCAAAGTTGAATTTATTGCTCTGGCAACTTTTCTTATTTCTTTTAATTGACAATCTCCTTTTGATTTCTAATAATATCATACACGGGCAAATATCTCTAGATATGCTTTGATTATGTTTCAGAAATATACTTGTGAATCAATCAATACTTAAACAAAGGTCCTACACCACACTTGTCTCTCTGGGCTATTTTAAAGACTACGAAATTATGATTTTCGTATTTAATATCATAAATATATAATTACTAAGTCATTTTGGTTTGAATGGTGCTTGAGGTGTATACTTGCTAATCAACCAATACGTATTAAAGCAATGTCCTGACACTACATCTGTTTGTCTGTGCTAC